GGCAGGAGAGGAGGGAGAGCAGGCGAGAGAGCTAGCTTAGTGGTAGAGTACAAGTTATAAAGGCAAATTGTCTAGTTCAACTTCTAACTCTGCCACTTATCAGCTGTGTGAATTTGGTTCTGTTTTTGTTTGGTTTGGTTTTGGATTTTTAGAAAGGGTCTCATTATACAGTCTAGGCTGGCCTTGAGCTCCCCATGCAGTTCATGCTGGCCTCCAAATTAGCATCCCCCTCCCCCCCTGAGTGCGGAGATTGTAAATGTGTATCATCATGCCTGGCCCTCAAATTTCTTTATCTGTACCACAACTTTCTCATTGTAAAAAGAGGAAAACTTATACATAGAATTTCTGGTTTTTGTTGTTGTTGTGGTGGTGGTTGTTTGTTTTTGATGCGGGGTCTTACTAAATGTTGCCCAGGCTGGTGTTCAGCTCCTGGGCTCATGCACTCCTCCCACCTCAGACTCTTGTATGTTAGGACTACAGGCACATACCACATGATCAGGGTTTGTTGCAAGTTTGGTGCCAGATACACTACAGGAGCACTATATAAACATTATTGTGTTTTTGAAAAAAGATATCTAGTGAGTTGCATCAATCTTCAATCAGAAATGAAGAAAAGTCTTGTACAGGAATACAAGCCTCTAGCCGAAATCCTAGAGCTTGGATGCCCTTCTGAAATTTAAAGTTTTTTTTCATATTTTAGGAATGTGATACATTGTATTATGTATATTTTAATTAACATAGTGTTCTGGGCAGCAGCCTTTAATCAAAACACAATATTTCTACAATGAAATGTATCAATAGTCCCACCAAATAGAATAAATGAAGATTTAAAATAGACTATATCAGTTCAATCAGATTTCACCACTAAAAGAATTTAAAAATTTGGATTTAGAAATTACAGATAAGGGATTGTGAAGCTCTGTCTGTGGAGTGTTATAATCTTATTGTACTAAGTAATAAACTGATCAGTAAGGAAAATAGCAATGGTGATAATTACACAAAAAACTTTTCTGAAAACCTAATGACCTTTTTTTTTATCTCTTAACAAAAAATATAAAACATGGTTACCACATGATGACTTACACTGGGGTAACCTTACGTGGCATAAAATGTTCCTAATGCCTGGAGCATCTCTCTAAATACTCCCATTAATATTCCAGAGAGAACCTCTTCAAGGGAGTCTTCCTTGCTGGGCATATTGGCACATGCCTGTAATCTCAGCACTTGGAAAGCCGAGGAAGGAGGATCACTGTGAGTTCAAGGCTACCCTGAACTACATAGCAAGACTGCATCAAAAAAAAAAAAAAAAAGTCTTCGTTTATCAGTATATTTAAAAGATCAGTGAATGTATACACACATACATTTGCAAATAATCATATAGAAACTGTTTTCCCTTTTTTCTTCCTTAGTATTTCTCATTATCTAGCATTATATATTTGCTCATCATCTGTCTTACAAAGACTTGAATAGGGGAGCAGAGGCTTCATTGTGTTTGAGCATCTCTAGAACAATGGCTAGTAAACAGGCATTTGATAAATATTGTTCAACAAATGACTCACGAAAATAAAGCTGACTGATAAACAGCAGAGGGTTCCCAAAACTAATTCTAATATATACCAAGTCATTGCCTTCTTTCCAAAGGAAGTGCAAGACAAAAAAAATTTTTTAAAGCATATATCATCTAAACCTCAGCTGTATTATGTTCATGTAATATGTCCATTAATGAAACTCTGATATAGTAATTTTAAAACATTTCTTCATTATATGTACACTTAATATACTAATTTTTTAATTGTATATATTTGGTACAGGATCTCAATACACAGTTCGGACTCAGAGTGATCCTCCTGTTTTCAGCCTCCCTAGTACTGGGATTGTAGGCATACGCCATCATGCATATATTTTTAAGTTGGAGTATTATTGTCTTGGTTTTATTCCCCCAACACATTTCACTCACTAAAGAAAGAAATTCTGATCTTCCAACAGGTTAGTGCATTAGGTTGCAAATGTAGCCTGTCTTAGCCTGAGTGGAATCTGTATGTATTTAGTTTGGACCCAGGTAATAAAATGACACAACACTGATAATCTAAAGTAAAGAAGCAAAGAATTTTGGCATTACTACAAAATATACAATAAAATTTTATAGTGCATTACTGTCAGATAAATTTACTATTAGGATAGGCTAAGCTTTCCTCTTCATTTCTAACCTCCTCCACATGTTGTGATATGTGAATTGATTTTTTTTTTTTATCCCTTGTAGTAGTAGTGAATGAATGCAGAACCTCATACATGCTAAGCAAATGCTCTATCACTGAGCTACCTACATCCCCAGGCTTTTTAAAAAAAAATTTTTTTTATTTTGAGGCAGTGTCTTGCTAAGTCACTAAAGTGCCTAGGCTGGCCTTGAATTTATGATCCTTCTGCCTCAGCCTCCTGAGTAGCTGGAATTAGAGGCATGTGCCAGCATGCCCAGTAGTTCTTAATCACTTTTAAGTGGAAAGGGAAAAAAAGGTGCAAGTAAGAATACGACACATATAAGCTTGGTAAGCCTCATGCTTCTGACCCATGTCTTCCAGTCCCAAAACTGGAATCAAATCAGATAAATGCCTGCAGAACCACTTCGCACCCTAAACACGTGCAAACTTTGTTCAACAGAACATTTTGCTGCCAAAATGGTGTTGGCAGAAGTTTGGAGCAAAGGGCCCCAGGCTGCATGATTTGCTGGCACCAGAAAGCTTAAAAATCTTAACATAACACTGCTGAGTTTGAGACTGTTTATGTGAGATTCCTCCTCTTAGTTTTTACTTGAAAAAGGTGGGAGCTGTCATCAAGTAAGACTTTATTAGCAACTTATTCTGTACCCAGAAATAATTTGATGTCACACTTCTGATTGTCATACCTCTATCTTCCTTTGGGTTTGTGTTTCCATAGTAAACCTAAGGCAGTCTATTTTGAAATAAATGTAAACTCCGTTTTGGGGGTTACTTAGATAAGGGGCACAGGGAAGACTACTATAAATACATAAAATTATGAGAAAGTTGTACTTAAAAATACTTGATTCAAATAACACCCACATTACAACTTACTATCCTCAAAAACTGAGGGAGAAATTAAGATACAGAACTGTCTTTAAAATGCTGTCATTTTTTATCTGGTTCAGCTTGTCTTCTCATTTGTCTTACGTTTGAGGTATGGTAGTTTGTTTTGTATATAAACAATATAGGAAAGTAATGTCTCTGATAGTCTTTCTGATTTTCTTTCCAGAATCCTCTTAAGTGTTCCAACTGTCAGCTCTGATTTCATATTTTCACCAGTTTCTAATCTCCACGATACAGTTGGAAGCATTTAGGACAAAATATTCTTTAGAATATCAAGTTACAGAAGACTATACTAGAGTTGTAACAGTAGTATTCATATAGCAGTGCTGCCACCTAAAGATGAGGTGAATGAAGAAGCAATTCAAAGGAAATGACCCATCATTTAAAAATATCTCAAATATATTCTCATCTCTAACTAGGGATTAATAAACTTTTTTTGTTAAGTGTGGAAGCTGAATTGTTTCACAATAACATTGCTGAGCTCTCATTTTCTATATAACTCAAACTCAAACTTTTCAGAGTTCTCTCCGATTTTTCTCAGGCTAAGAGTCATTGCTTTATATTGCTAACACGGAGGCATCCAAAAACACCTCAATAAAACAGAATTTCTGGTTTAGTGGATAAAATAAGTGATACATAGATCGAGGCTTTCCTCTTCTTCAGTGACAAACGTCTTGAAGCTAGACAAGTGACTTACCTTTAGCTAACTCCATAGAATGAGATTAATCACATCTCATTCCTATTTGCCTCCAAGATTTCACTAAACTTCTTCCAAGTTTAAAGTATACTATCGCTTAACAAAACAGTATTTGTGGTGTTTTACAAAGTAAGTTCAACATATTGTCAGTTATTTAAGCTAGGAGAATGACTCAGTTTTCATAAATAACATTGAATTTTGGGAGTCTATTTAAATAATTACAAAGGCAAAAGTAGTTCTCTATTTTGTAGGAAACAGTTACTAGCTGATCTATGTTAGTTCTATGTACCATTGCGTTGAAGGATTGAAATGTGACAGCACATAAGGCGTTTGGGTGCACCAAAAATTTTTAATTTGGTTAAGGTTTCAAGTAAACGGTCTTAAAAGATACTTTATGGTTCTACATTTCACTGTTGTGTAACAATTTGTGAAAATTAACTCCTACCTTTCACTCTTTCCCTCTAAGCCAAGAACGCATAAATAATATTTATCAGGGTTTTGTCCTTAGTCACAGTCTCTCAAAGGGGCCCCGGCTTCACCTACAGTGCGTGGGAGGCTGGGCAGCAACCCCACACTTCCTGTCGAGGATTCCTGGGGCCGGAGCCTGGACACGGTCTAGCCCCTTTCTTTATGCTAATTCTGCCCTTCCAGTCCCTCTCGGCGGGTGTCTGAAGGCCAAGGTAAGACCCTCCTCAGAGATGAAAGGCCCTACTGCCTCCAGAGAAAGGGGGGTGGGGGCAGCATGACGAGGTGGTAGCGGCTGCCGCAACGACGCTGAGGGCCCTAAATTGTAGGTGGCGCAGGCCCTTCAGGGTTCCATCCCTGCCAGAGCCTGGCCTGGCCTTTGGAGGCCCAGCGAGGGATAAGTAGTTCTTGGGGAGCTCTGAGCGATAGATGGAGAACATGCGGCCGAATGGCTCCAGACAGCCCCTTCCTCAGACGCGCCACAAGGCCTGGGCCGCGGGATGTTGACGCGCCAGCGACAGAGAGGGCGCGCTCACGCGCGATGGGGGGGTGGAGGGAGCGCGCTCCGCACCAGACGCGGCGGCCGCAACAGAAACGGAGAGACTGGAGAGCGGAGGGCGCGAGCCGGAGGGGGGGCGGGAAGGCTGAGCGCGCGCTGACGTCGCCCGGAGTCACGCACGGAGCGCCGGGTTACGCGCCGACGTCTGGCTGCCACGACTTGCCGTCTGCGGCAGCGGCGGCGGCGGCGGTGGCGGCGGCGGCGAGCGGATCCCGCAGGGGAAGGAGGAGGAGGAGGAGGAGGGAGAGTCAAGGGGGCTGTGAGTGAGCGGGAGAAGCAGGGTGTGAGCCGGGCTAGCCCGCGGGAGGGAGAACGAGCGAGAGCCGAGCCAGCCATCCGAGCCGCCGCCTCCTCCTCCTCCCCTCGGCGTCCCGCCCCCGCCTGCCCGCCCGCCCTCCTCCCTACTCAGCCCGCAGAGCCGGAGTGAGGCGCAGCTAGGCTCGCGCCGCTGTCCAGGACAGGTGTGCGCGCGCGCGCCCTCCTCCCCTCCCCCCTTCCTCGCGCCCGCCGCGCGCGCGCGCGCGCCCTCCCTCCCTCTCTCCAGCCTGCGCCCTCCCTCACCTGCGGCAGGACAGCGCCCGCCCCGGTAAGCCCCTCGCGACCTTCCTTGCTGCCGTTGCCACAGCTCGAGGTGTCGTCCGCCCCGGCCCCTCTAATTACTCTCTTCGTCCGGGAATAATCATTGTACCGTTGCAGCCAACCCTGCATCCTCCCTCTCGGGAACCTAGGCAGTGCAGCAATCCTCCCCCCCTCGCGCGCCTCACAGCGACGAACGAATGAACCCACTCCCACCCCCGAAAAATAACAAAATAACACTTCTCGCCCTTTAAAAAAAAAAAAAAAAAAAGCACCCTACCTACGCAGGCACTGGTGACCACCAGTAACGCCGGTTTCTTAGCAATCCCTGAGCCCCATTTCCCCATACTATCCTTTCCCTAGGGCCTGGGACAGTGCGCTAGACGTAGCCAACACTCCCTGCACGACAACCCTAGAAGGGAGAAGCATTCCATTAATTTAGATTCCACTACCAATCCCTCCAAACCTCTGATCCCCACCCACCCCCATTGAATACACCCGCCGAGGATGCCTTGTTTAAAAAATAAAAAAAAAAAGGAAAAAAAAAACAAAAATCCATTGGTGCTGACATTGCAAAAGCCAGGCCCAAGGATGGGTGGTCCGAACTAGGCATTTTTACTGCCCCACAGAGCTGGGACAGCCTCCTCTGCCTTTGTCAGGAGCAAAGGGGAAGGATGTGAAGGTCTTCCCTTTTAACGACTGTGGGCCCCAGAGGCAGGCTGTGTTGTTTGTAGGGAAAGAGATCCTACAAATGCATCTACCATCAGCCTGAACTTTGGTAGAGGCCCCGAGAGACCGAGAGACCGGCTAGGTAACTTTGGTTCCTAGCTGTCAAACGCTGAATAAATGCCATCTTTTTTCATTTCCGTTGTTTCAAACTATCGGACTCCCTTGAGATTTCTACTTGGTTCTGATCTGAGCCCCTTAATGTTTCTGTGAGCCAGGCGCCTTTATACAGCTTTTCGCAGTGGTGTCTATGCTTGTGTCCCATGTCCTTGGAAGGGAGGTCCCAGAGCTTTACAAATGGGCTTGCTTGATTTGGCTGGATTTGGTTGATATCTTTTGGTAGGCTGTCAGAAGGGAGAGGAAATTTTGGAATTATTTCAAGACCCCCTCTTTCGTCTCCCAAATGGCATTTACGAATTGTGGCTTTGGAAATTGGAGTGTTCACAGAGTGAGTTGCTAATTTCATTCCAATGGGTACAGTAGTAGTAAAATCATTTTAAGTTATCAGCTGGAAGAGAGTTGTACCACTTGAATCCGTTCTGTTTGGACCTTTTGGGTACATAAAATGTCGGGTTCTCTGAAACGATAAAAGTATCAGATTTAGAATGTATGCTAAATTTACTTAATTTTAATGCAAATATTTAAAAGGAAAACATTGGGAAATGCGAAGATTCTATCGCATGAATTTTTCTCTTCATACTTTAAATGTTTAATTTATATCTTTATTTGTAAAGATTCATAAATCATTGAAAGAGCATAATTTTCAAGAATAGTTGAGATATGGAAAGGGGACATGCTTTTTAAAACTGATTTGTGAAATGTTGGAATTATTACATGTTGTTGAATGTTAAGATTTATTGACAGTTTTCTTAATTTTCCTGGTAGACAGAAGAAATAGGTAATTCATCAACTTTGAACATTTGAAGTACAACATTCCAGTTAGTTTTAGTGATTGAGATATTGAAGATAACTGTCTGGTTTAACTCAAGTAGAACTTGAAAACAGTATCTAATGTTTTCTTTTATTTTGGAAATGTGTGCTTTTGTACAATGTGAATACATTGTTTCTCTTGGGAACTCTATAATCAAAAGGGTTTACTAATCAGAGATAGATATCCTCTCTCAAGTTTATTTTATAAATGTATGTTGATATTTGCTTTTAAAGACAAAAGTTGAGTTAGATTATTTCAGATTCACATGTAGTGGAGGCTGAGGATAATCGAGGCTTTTTCCTTTTTGTTCTCTGTTTCTTTGCGCAAAATTGCACAAATTGTAAGAATTTGTTAAATACATAGTGGGATTAAAATAAAACAGTCTTTATGCTCTTCAAAATGTGTATGTAGTGTTAAGAGTTCACGAAATGTAAAGATGCTTACCAGGTTTTTAAAATGTAATCATGTTTTGAGGAGAAAGGGAGTATTTGTTATTTTTTCATTAACATGGTTAATTTGATACATAATATATTTCGTTTCCCTTTTACCTTTTCTGCCCTGTAATGAAATTATAGATTTAGTTTTCCAACTAGTTTTTTAAAGTAACAAATTCAAACAACTGAAAGCTATACAGGTTTTGATTCAATAAGTTAGTATCTATTTAGGTAATTAACAAATGGCTAGAAACCTTTTTAAATTCACACATTTTCTAATGGATCTTCAATGTAGATACAACTTTAAATTTTTTGTAATGTTCTAAACTTTTTAAGATTTTTCTACAAGTTAATATTCATTCCTCCGAGGCTGCCTTTTAAGGCTACTGTACACAACAACCCAAAGAAAGCCGACTTTTACCTCCTAGTCTAAGAAAAATCCCACATTTACGGGGCTTATCCTGAAATTAACCCTCTTGTTTCAGTAGTGAAAATGTGTTGTGAAAATACGCTATACAGTTTATCAATAAATTGTACTGAAAAAAGCTTTAGTCTTTTTTACATGCATGCATAAAGTAGAAGGGAAGCTGGCATATAAGGGCAGAAATTTTATATATGTATATATACAATGAATTGTATAGAATAAGTACATAATATGTGGAGAGATTCAGTTCTCAGTCATTTGCTGATTTTCGCTTAAAATTCCCACTTTAAGTGTGCAAATGATATTTAATTTGTGTTCTGTCTAGAAACTCAGTTGCTTCTGCTCTGGGGAACTAAGAAGTCAATTCCTGGTGGCAGTTGCTTTTTCTAAGAAAATCAAGGGTACTGTTGAACTGAAATATTTCAGAACCCCCGTATGTAAATGTCTGCACAAGGGGACAAGAGATTAAAGTTAGGTCAGCACGGTGGACAGTTTTGAACCTTATAGCTTCTGCCCCTGGCATGGTGAACATCAGCACATGGAAGAGTGGCAGGCACCAACAGGAAGGAACCCTAATTGAAATAACATTGGCCTTGTTGCTGCTTTATGATTCCTCCAGTCGCAGGGGGGTTTGGTTCATAACCCAGTGGCAGGGGCTTGGTTCATAAACCCATGAAGAACAGCAGCAGCCTTTCTAGATCCGACTTCACCAGAAGTTAGCCTCAATTTAGAAGTGGGAGCCTAACACTCCCGCCTTATTTCTAGAGACCCTGCCATACAGCCTTCTTACCCAGCAGTCGGGGTCTATCCAGGGTCCTGATCTCCACTGCCTGAGCGTGGAGGAGCGAATGCTTCTTCATACATACGCATGTATATCTGTGTGGTAGAAAATACGGTCCTGTGTATCCTTCCCAATAGGCTTGGGAAGAGGAGAGGGAATGCGCAAAATTCAGAACTGACAGGCTGAATATATGGTACTAGAGGTTGCCCCCAAAATAAGAAGTTCTTTCTGAGGCCCAAACCCTGGATTTTTCTCTGAGTGAACCTTCCTTTAGGGAACCATTTCAGAGACTGCTGGACATAGGGGCTGGCTCACATGAGTACCCCAGTTTGTTGCTCAGTAGCCAAGGTTCTTTAGTGAGAAAAACCTTTATCCTAAAGCTGAAATAGCTAATGCTGAGTAGAATAAGGCTCTTGCTTTGAGAACGGGAAAATAAAAAAGTCATAAATGCCTTACAGGTAGGTTTGCCCAAGAAGTGAAAGGATATTGTAGGGGCTTCCAGGGATCAGATATTATTAAGGTTTATGCCCTAGACTGTTCTGAGTTTCTTGATCGCATTCTACTCCCTTTTTGGCAACTTAATCATTTTTTTCTGAAGCTAGCAGTATGGGAGACAAGTCTTACTTTTGGGGAAAAGGGAGATGTTCAATGGGAGTGGAACCTTCAGATGGAATAGGCACACTTTCAAGATGAAGTCGGCAATCCATGCATCAGAAAGCCAAAGATAAACATGCATAATCCTCTCAGACCCCTGCAGATGATGGGGGATAGAGGGACATTGACAAGAGTCCCCTGAAGATAGGCCTTAGCCTTCACATAGCTTTGAGGACTACATACTGCATAGGACAGTATAAGCTACCATTACCTTATCTGGAAGTTGTAAAATAGGCCCTCGAGGATGCATCAGGTCTAGGAACAAAAACACGAATGATTTCTGACCCTCTTCTTTACTTTTGAACTCTTTTCTGTTACGAGAGAGGATATGGTTTAGCTGTCACCCCCCAAACACTCATTGGCTAATTAATGGTTGGTAGTCTAGCTGTCTGCATAAAACTCAGCGACCATATAATGTTTTACTTGGGGGAGAGCGTCTCCACACGTTTCTGGAAGGAAGAGTAAAAGGGGCAAACAAGCGAACCTGCTTTAATGAATCCCGTAAGGAGCTGCGTTTCCCAGGAAATTCCTGACATTTTTAGCTCATGAATTTCCGAAAGCCTTCTTGGTTTTCTCTTCCATTCTAGGTCCTTCCGAGAGGAAGAATAGTGGGTTAGGGTCTAAATGCTCGGCAGGGCCTGGTTCATCCGCAGAGCTGGCCGACAACCCAGGCTGGGCTCTGCCCTGAGCAGGGTGCCCCCCTTGCCCAAATCTCAGAAGGAGGAGGGGGAGGCAGGCTGGCAGCCCTGGTCCCAAGGGGGCTGGTTGCAGGTTTTTGGGTGAGCGTGGGGTTTCTTTTTGATTGCTGTTTGGGAGTAAGGGAAGAGCCTACGGGAATAGGCACTGCGGGCACCCAGGCCGTGGTGCGGCTACTGTCCTCCACTCAGCTCCCCCCCGCCGGTGAGTGCGCCCGCCCGCCCGCCCGACTGTGCTGTGCGGGGCTGCGGTTGGGGGGAGGGGGGAGCGGGATCATCTGAGGCCAGAGCCGCTGCCGTGCGCGGGGAGGGGGAGCGGCGGGAGAAAAGGGAGGGAGAAGGGAGGGACAGGCTAGGTGTCTGCTGCTCCGCGCCACTGCTGCCGAAGCCCAGTCCTCATCTTTAGCAGCCCTCTCTGCAGCTAAGGGTTACAACCACCGCACCACCTCCTTTTCCTCGCCTCTGCGGCCAGGGGGCCAGGGTTCTGCGGTAGGAGACAACCAAGCTGGGTGACCGGCAGGCCCGTCTGGGTTTGGGTCCGGGTTTAGCTGAGGCCCACATGGGAGGGGGTGGCAGTGACTTGGTGTCCCCTCTTTGCAGCTGGCTCTGCTGTGCTGCACAGGCCCCTCCCCCTACATACTCTCTTTGGGGGTCACCAGAAAGCAGAGCTCAGTCCTCCCTGGCCTTAGTATGGCAAACCCCTTCTCACCCTAGTCCCACAACTCCCTGGCCATGGCCGCTTAGGGTCTGGCCAACTGCGATATCGACAGCGGTGCTGGTGGTGGCACAGTGGCGGCAGCAGAGTTGCGACGCGGCTTGTCCTGCTCCCTCCCCACCCCCAGCCAGGGGTGTAGGGTGAGGGCCGGTGGGTGGGCGCCACCTGGCGGGCGGGCGGGAGAGTGGACTAGGGGCTGGCATCGGGGAGGGGGCGCAGATCACGTGCTGGCGGGCGGGTGGGCGCGTACAGTAGGGCGCTCTGCTACTGTACTGGGGAGTCAGTGCCCTGTTACCGGGTCTCGTCTGTCTCGTCTCTCCCGCAGATCTCGCGAGAGTGGCTGACTGGCTGTGGGGGTTGCGGCGGCAGCAGGCGGAGCCGGGGAGGGAAAGCAGCGGCGGCTGAGGCGACTGAGGCGGCGGGCGGAGCGGCAGGCGGCGGCGCGGCGGCGGCGGAGCGCAGCATCATGGCGGACAGAGACAGCGGCAGCGAGCAGGGTGGTGCGGCGCTGGGCTCGGGCGGCTCCCTGGGGCACCCGGGCT